TCCAAACATTGATGACCAAAAAAACTAATGCTGTAAAGATTGGTGACTGCAGAATAGGAAAAAAAACTTTCCAAAAAATACATGTAGCTAGATGGCACAGAAAGAAAGAAGGAAGTGTAACCCAAATAGTTGTGAGAAACGTGAACATAAAATAAGGAAGAAAGTCTTTGTAGAGGAATCCAAACGGGAATAAAATCTGAAAGGGAATTATAACCTGGAATATAAAATTGTAGGATATATACCTGCACATCAGCTACAAAACATAGGGCTCGAGGAAGTCTTATGGTTTAGAAGGACATAAGTATCCTCCTTTCATTCAAAGATTCCAAAATGTTTGACACTAAGAAAAAATAATGCAACAAACAAAAACCTTTAATTTCAGTAAATGGAAACCAAACTTTGAGTAATAGGATTATAAGGCTAGCTAGCCACCAAAAGACCCCTACACCACCCCACCCCCACACCCACAGGCGGACAATCACTGGCTATAAAAATATTTGCGTACCACCAAGGTATGGAAAGGCAGGAAAATGGGGTAAAGTTGTCGAAGAGGAAGAGGAATGCCCATTGCAATAACATATTAATACTAAACACAAGAAATTATAAAGAAAATGACAATAGAGTGAAAATGTGAAAGTTAATTAATGTACAGAATTATTCTGTGACAAATAGATTCTAATATACAATATATATTAGAGTCAAATAAGGGCAAAGGGGTGGTTGGTTTTGTGTGAAAGAGGTATAATCAGAGTGCCAAATTAAATTGTTTTGACCTTCTGTTGATAACGATGGTCAATCTGAGGTCAACCCTGAAATTTTTGGTCTTGGTTTCTCCCCTCAACCAATACTTGAAGACTTTGTCATTAATGCTATGTGACATCTAAAACTAGCTAGGAAATGTGGGCAAAGATGTGATTGATGAAAACAGCTTTCATTATTGTGTAAGCCCTTTCATAAAGGATATCACTGCCGATCATGAAACTGAATTGAACAACACAATAAACAAGACTCATATTTAATGCAACGATTTTATTCACATCTGCTTATAAGCAATTAGCTGTGAATGGTGAGGAGCATGGAGACGGCTGTATTCCCCGGCAAAGATACATTGAAACAGTAATACGTGACATAAGTAATGCATGTTTACAGTCATGTCTCCATTAGCCTGCACACAGACGAAATTAAACTCTGGTTAACTCCGTCTGGGAAACAGCGCCAAAATCCTTGTTCTGGACTTCCAGCTGTGTACCCAGATTTGAGAATGCACCACGATTGGCCAGTTAAAAAAGACCTTTGTTTTGTTTGTCGTGATTGCCTCCGATTGGCTGAGAGAATTTCCTATGGGGTTTGGACTGGAAGCGAACAGAAGGAGCAGAAAAGCGAACGTGAAAGAGAATGGCCGCGGCTAGCGAAGAGAAGTGGAAAGAGGCCTTTGAGGCAGTCCAAGCACAGTTTGAATTGACCGATCTGCTTCCAGATTAACAAGAAGCTATCAAAGCTTTTTTTTAAGGGGAAAAATGTGTTTGTAAATTTGCCCACGGGCTTTGGAAAGTCACTAATTTTCCAAATTTTGCCCATTGTTGCAGACATTAGTAGTGGTTACACACACCTTGGGTTTGGGGTCTTCCAGAGGGTAAATGGCTTGGGTTTGGTTTAGCTCAGGTTTCACTTTACCCTTGGGGATGCGGTTACACAGTAAAAGACACCCCTCAGGGTAAAATATAATTAGATATGAGCTAACTGACCTTGTGAATTGGCGGGAAAAGTGGAGATCAACATGGATGACACGAATCGAGATCTAGTAAGCTTAATTTCAGTGATTCTCCTGCTTATTATTCGACAGTCTTCCATAAACATAACAGTCCAGCAGTTTTTTGCGAGAAGACACCGAAGAAGGCGCTTTCGATTACGCTACCTGCAAGGTTTGTCGGCATTGTATTTAAATTTACGAGCTCGTCGCCAATTTGCTCGCCGGCCTAGAAGAGCTTGGGTATTTCCATGACCACAGAACTGGTTTCAGGAACTTCTAAATAACAATGCACTGGATCACTGGTGGAAAGAAAACTTTAGAGTTTCGCGCGATACCTTTGAATATATATGCCAGCTCGTTGGACCGGCGCTCCAGCGGCAAAACACTAGGATGCGAGATGCCATTCCAGTTCCAAAGCGCGTCGGTGCAAGCCTCTGGCGACTAGCTACTGGAGAGTGCTACCGCTCGTGTGGACTGATGGTTGGGTTGGCAAAACCGACTGTTGTAAAGTGTTGCCATGAATTTGTTCAAGAAATATGCCGACTTCAAGATGAGTTTATCAAATTTCCTTCTACTGCAGCAGAGATAGCTAAAAAAATTAAAGGCTTCGACAATAAAAGTAAATTACCTAATGTAGTTGGAGCAATAGATGGAAGCCATGTACCTATTAAGGCCCCGAAAATTAACCATGAAGACTACTTTAACCGGAAACATTTCTACAGTTTTTTAGTACAGGGAATAGTTGATGCCTCTGGCCTCTATTTATCCGTGGCCACTGGTTTTCCTGGAAGTCTACATGATGCTCGGATGCTGCGTTTAACTGACGTTTATTGGGCTGCTGAAGATGAGAATATCCTAATGGAACCTACATTTGACTTAGGCGGAACTGTAGTGCGCCCACTTATCGTGGGAGACACTGCTTATCCAAACAAAACCTGGCTCATCCGACCATTTAAGGATAACGGTGGGCTTACGCGCGACCAGAGGAATTTCAACCGAGAGTTATCCAAGGCGAGAATAGTATCCGAACATGCATTTGGTATGACCAAAGGAAGGTGGAGGGTATTACTTAAGCGCCTAGACGAAGACAGTGACAGAATACCTGACACTATCATCGCCTGCTGCGTGCTACATAACATTTGTGTTTTACGAGGAGATGAACTCGACATAGATGATAGTGATGATGATGATAGCGATGATGATGATGATGACGACGGCGGCCCCCCCTCCCAGGCTGCAGCTGCGGTTCTACAAGCCCTTGTTCAATACGTTGCAAATCAATAGACATATATCCCCTTGATTTTGTCCTCTTTGCGTCCTAAATTATAGAAGGTTACGAAATAATTATATTTTGCTTTGTAATTTATTTAAGCAATCATATATCTGATCCCATTGATCCAAACCTGAAAGTAACAGCAGATTGAATAAATATGTATATATATATATAGTAATATAAAATCAATCAAAAATGGTGTAGAATTTTACACGGGATAATTACAGGAAATATAAAAATTCTGTTTGCTAAACAACTGTAACGTCTATTATACTTAAGAAACAGCGGTTGTAACCATTTTACAGCACTGTGTATTTTAGTGTCCAAAATACTATTCAAGATCAATTAAAATTTCTTTTTGCAGTTTTGCAACAATCATGTAAACAGTTCCTTTTTTCTTTGGAATAAAAGCGCTGAGTTAAACCTATTTTTTGGAAGCAAATATGTCTCCGAGTTTTCCTAACACAGACACAACAAATTCTTGGTGTTGTCGCTGCGCTTCTGCCTGAGATTTGAGGAGAGCTTCAAAAACTCTCTCGTCATTCTCTTCGGATCTTTGGATGGCTTCTTGCTGTGACTTCATCATGTCAAGGATTGCTAGCTCCATGTCATCGCCGCTAAGCCTTTTCTTCTTCTTTTTTGGTCCTTTTTCATCCTTTTGCCCAGTTTTTCCAGTTGTCTCTGCATCCGCACTATCTCCTCCAGCAGAGCTGGGCGGCCGTTTCTCTGGTTTCTTACTGCAATCTTGATTTCCGGTCGATAAAATATCGTCGGTATCATCAGAGCTACAATCCTGTCGGTGGGCTTTCGTTTCCTTGACAAATCTTGGATTCACTTTGTCTGATGAAGCCATAAATTCGTCGATGTCTTCATAGTGCTTGAACGTTTTCCGTTCCCTTCCCGTGCGATTGTTGTTATCACATACGCTTTTGTATTTATCCAAGAGCGCCCGCCACTTCTCCTTTAACTGCGCTAATGACTTTTCAGATTCCACGCCATTGTCAAAGCACATACTTTGAAACTGCTTCAAAATATCTTCCCATATTTTTTTTTGGCTTGACTGCTTTTTGTAGACTTAAGTCTATCGTAGTACTCCTTAAAAGCGGCAATTAAGCATCTCTCTTCGGTCAACGACCAGCTACTGCGCTTGTTACGATCGTCGCTTCGGTTCGAGGATTCACTTGGAGTTGGACTAGCGCTGTCCCTGTCTGGTTCAAACTGAAGGTGATTGCTAGTACCGGGTACAGGGTTCTGGTAAATCGGGTAGGGATTTAACATCGCTGGATAATGCAGTGGAGGCTGATTTTGAGCCATGCTAACACCATACAGGGTATTACCGGTGTTGTTGATTCCCTGCGGCCTTGTTTGATTTCGTGCCGCAAATAAATATCCGTTGTAATAGGGATCTTCATTTTGACTAGTGTTCCTATAAACAGATAAACGGAAAGATTATAATTTAATCAACTTCGTAACTGGCAGTCTGAAGGGCAAACTCATGAAAATAAATAAATAAAGAAATACTCACAGTGATGCACGAAACCCTGCCATGTTACCTCGTGCTAGAAGAAGGCGCGAAATTAGCCAAGTGCTTCAGAGGTCACCTCAGAGCGCCTCACGCAATTTCCTGTATTAGCTACGTTCTGCTTTATGATTGGCCAAGCCACCTCAGGGAGCAGATAAACCGTACTTTTCAGTTCAGGAACTGTCATGGGAAGTTCTTTTGTTCTTTTTGATGTATCCATGGAAATAACCCTAGGGCAGTTTTGGTCTGGGAAAAGCGGTTACACACAAAAAAGTCTTTTCCCGTGGGCAAACGCTATTTACCCATGGGTAAAAGGGCTAGTATAACCACGACTATTGTTTCTGGTAAGCCTCGCGGTTCAAGTGTTATTGTGGTGATTTCACCTCTGCGGTCTTTGATGGAGGACTGAGTGCAAAACTTGAACAGCATTTGTATTCCAGCTATTGCCGTCACCGATGCGGAGGATCTGGAATTATTCAGCAGGTTTAAACAGGAATTTTCACGTAGTATTTGGTTTGCCCAAGTGTTTGTTGTCGACTGCTCCGTGGAGGGGCATCTTCAAAAGTGAAAGCTTTTCTGAAATGTTGATTGGAGTGGCAATTGACGAGGCTCATTGTATAACACAGTGGTAGGTAAATTTCTCTTTCTAACGCAGAACAACGAGAATAAATCTAGGACCTTGTCACTGAATTATTCACACCTTTTATCTCCTTGGAGTTGAGTTGCTAGTACTATGAAATTTACACGTAGTCTGCTTTACACATAAAGCTTACTGTTAGATTAATACAGTTACGTCAGCGAAAATATAAACTGCGCTTGCATTCTGTCTGCACATTTGGCGGCAAAGTCTGCGATTGTTTAATAAAACACCATGGAGGTGACAAAATTCTGTAGCTTTTTTTTTTCATTAGTTGGTACGAATAAATGAAAATTTCTGGCATTTGATTGTTAGTAAAGTTAATATCCCTTAAAAGAGTACTGATCACTGCAGGTATTATACAACTTAACCGAGATGCGTGAATTGCATTATTACACTGTAAATGAGAACTTTGAAATATGTGAAAATAATTATTATCCTCTTAAGACTAATTCTCTTTGTTTTACGGGGGACTACCTGGGGCCAAGAACAAACTTCCTTTCAGAAAGTGGTATGGATGCCTGGGAGAATTAAGGTCCCTAATTCCTCAAGAGTGTCAAATCATGGTCCTTACAGCAACTGCAACAAAGGCTACCAAGCAGCAAATACTGCATACGCTCAGTATGTGTGAAAAAGATCTCCAGCTGATTGAGCAGAGCCCAGATGGGCCGAACTTATTTTGTGGAATGTCATACCTCGACAAGAATGATGAGATCGAGTTAGCTTTTTCATCTTTGATTAGTGAAGTCAAGGAACTGAACACTGAGACAGCCAGAACATTAATTTACTGTCAGACACGAAAACAATGTTCTGTGATCTTCCGTGTGTTTGAGGTATACCTGGGAATGCACCTGTACCACACAAGTACTTTGCCCAAAAATCGAATCGTTGAAATGTATCATGCCGGTACCCCTGCGTCTGTAAAAGATCACATTTCAAAATCTGTGGCTGTGGATGAGGGGAATGTGCATGTTTTGATATGCTCTGTTGCTTTTGGCATGGGGGTCAATTGTAAAAAAGTAAGACGGGTGATCCATTTTGGCCCATCAAAATCAGTTGAATTGTATGTACAAGAGTGTGGAAGAGCTGGCAGAGATGGCCTCCCTAGTTCATGTGTATTACTGCACAACGGTCTGCTGAGTAGTCACTGCGATGCTGACNTGCTCTGTTGCTTTTGGCATGGGGGTCAATTGTAAAAAAGTAAGACGGGTGATCCATTTTGGCCCATCAAAATCAGTTGAATTGTATGTACAAGAGTGTGGAAGAGCTGGCAGAGATGGCCTCCCTAGTTCATGTGTATTACTGCACAACGGTCTGCTGAGTAGTCACTGCGATGCTGACATGAAGCAGTATCTACAAATTGAATAGTGCTGCAGAAGGTGGCTAATGGAAGAGTTTGGTTCCAAAGAAAGTTCCAGGAGTTCAGACCCGAATGTAACGTCTCATGACTGTTGTGGTATTTGTGCTGGTGGATGCAAATGTAGTAGTGAGAACTGTGGTGAGTTTTGGAGCTCCTGTAAAGACAGACCCAGTCTGCCTAAGCTCTCGACAGGTCCTACTAGTGACTGTGACAGCCTTGAAATTGTGTGGATTGTAAGACGACAAGACAGAGACACTTTAAGGAAGAAGCTTCTCGAATTCCAACGTGAAATGGCAAAGCAGGGTCAAGCAGTCAAAATGGTTACATGTCCAACCTATCTTCTGGAATTCAATGCTTTTCATGTCAACCAGGTCATAGAATGTTGTGAGAAGTTATTCTCTGTGGATGATGTTACAATTTATGCTGAAGGGAGGTATTTTGGTGAACAACATCTATAGTAACATCTAATAACATTTCCGTTGTTGTTTTAGGCACAGAATAGGCTTCATTATTTCTTTTTTTGTTTGAGGGGAGGGACTCTTCAGGTCTTTATTGTCTATAGTTTAATACCGTGAACCCTTCAACTACCAAATATGCCAGATTTATGACTTCCTCTCACAATATCAATACACTCTAGTGACCAGCTGATAGCTTATGAGTATAAATAAACTAATCAGGCAGACATCTATTTTTATGTTTCCTCAGGGTTATTTGTGTCAACTTGTATTTAAGGAAATGTACATAAGCTTAAGCTTAATCTTTCTTTGCTAAGAGACTTAATGGTTATAGAAAGTTAAAACCCTTACCAGCCAGTTGGAATGGTACAGGGAGATTGTCAGCTATAGTTGTGCAGTGATCATATACTTAGATCGGTTGCGTAGACAAACTGCGGCTGCCATAGACACTGCTCCAAAATGGGTCGTGCATTCTTGTTTGGCTCTGCTTTTGGAGTTAATGCATGCTACCGAGAGAAGTGAATAAAACAGAGGCGCTCTCTCCTTTATTTCCTCCGATGCTTTTTCCATAGTAAAATATGTTTGTCTTTCAAAGACTGCTCGGTTCTTTCTTCAAACAAAGGTGAGAAGCCTCTGTTTTGATGTCCTTTCGCATGAACTCTGTAATTTCTTTTCGGGCGGAAGAATTTTTCCATGCGGTGTGGGCGATTTTCCTGTATGTTCCAGAAACGAGCATTTTACCAAGGGATTCTAAGTCTTGCAGAAGTTTTCTTTTGGTTTCCTTTGACGGTCATTGGACTCTCACAGACACATTCACTTTTTTTTGCCACGGTTTCTGTTACTTTGGCTAGTGTCCATCAAATCTTATTTAAATTCAATCCAATATTCAATTTGTGTCTAATGATCAAAGGCCGTTGATATGCAATAGAAAATAATTAAACCGCTGAAATTACCACTGGAGTTTAAAACTTATTGAAGCTTTTGCTTGGATGACAAGTGACATAACATGCCTGGAAATGTATAAAAATGTAAAAACCATGCACTGAAGTAAAACCTGAATAAACTTACATCGATTTCTAGACTTTGCTAACACTTGTATCATATCAAAAATGCGTCCCGCACTAAGCTGAGACCAGGCTCTGCTTTCATATTCCTGGGTAAATAAATTCCAGACCGGCAAGGTGAATCGAAAAGACTCCCATTTGGTACAGTACTTGTGTACCTACCGACTCTGGCAGTGCCCAGTCTGACAAACCTGCCTTATCTGTCGGAGTTGCACAGGGCTCTATCCTGGGCCCACTAGTTTTTTTATAATATATATGAATAATTTACCTAATGTCCTAGAACTGGAACTCAGACCTCAGAGTGGACGAAACTAAATTAACTTACTTTTAACACCAAAAAGACACATTTTATAGTAATAGGCAGCCATGTAAGGCTTATTACAGTTGACTCCGTTAGTATTAATTGAGCATGAGGGCATCAGTCTCCTTCATTGTTGTTTTCCTTCATGAACGAAACTGGAACAGTCATCTTTGATTTGTTTTGAAAGAACCCTTCGCTTCCAAATTCATGAAATTATTTTCTTCTACGCATGTAACAACTGCTTCAATCAATCAAAAGACTTTATTTTAAGAGGGGAGCACATGACAGTAGTGAAACCCTCTATGAAATGAAACTTTGGATATAAAGTTGAGGAATTACCTACACTAGAAATACTATAAAATGCAAAAATAAAATAGAGATAACTAGTGATTATATATATATATATAAATAAGTATAAAGTGAACAAAAACATCTACTTATGTAGCTTCACTTATCCTAGGAGTGCTCAGTGCATAAAAATATGCAGAGCGAAATGCAAATGAAAAAGATAGAAGTTAACAATAATAAATGTAATAATAATAATAATAATAGATGTCTTTATTTTGTCCGTTAAAATACGTAACAAACGTCACAGAGAGTAAAGGTATACAAATCATGAAAATCGCACGGATATCTATATCTTATCCTATTAAAATAGCAATTCTTAAAACGTTCTGTATTAATCCGTGGTAATTGACTTGTTTGTGATCTTAACCTCTTGGATGACTCTTTGACTTTCGGCAAAAGGGGTTATAATGGATGTGGTTAACATTGTTCTTAATTTTGGTGAACAACCTGCGGTCACGCTGCTCTAAAAGGTCATAGATATTAATTAACGCAGAAGTGTAACGTTGCTTATTGCACCTTTTTAAAAAGCATTGTATGGAGTTTGAATCTACCTGGCTGGCTCCATGTACTGGGAGTGCGTATGTGACCTTTGGCAGAACAATAGCCTTAAAGAGATGATCTATCTCTACCTGCGTGTATCCATCTTTTCTTAGTGATCTTAAAATGTACAAACACTTGTTTGCTTTCCGAAGTTTTCCCTTAACATGAGATGAAAACTTACAGTCGTTTTTTAATGTGACACCTAATAGAGTGAAACTGTCACGCTGTTCTATGCCACATAGAGGGGGAAAGTTAGGTGTGACACCTTTTTTAGCCATACAGAGTTCTTTGCATTTGCTTGTGTTACAGCTCATATCATTAACCTCTGTCCACTCCAAAAATGCATTCAGTACCTTTTCTGATTCATCTACACCATTCTTACGCACAGTCACAAGAATAGAAGTGTTGTCTGCATACTTTGTAAGATCGCTATCCTGGCAGTACTGAGCGACGTCAAGATCATTTAAGAACAGGTTAAACAAATACGGGCCGCTGACGCTTCCTTGAGTAGTACCGCGGTTGACATCCTTCCAATAACAAACACAAACAGTAAAGGAGTTGTACCTTGGAGTTTCACGCACTAAGGAATCATCAGACTAAAAATTCTGAAAACAGATTTTGGTTTTCAGGTGGAAATTCGAAATTCATGGACGGTTGGATTAGTGGGTTCTGTGATTGGTTGCGAAGAACTTGTTCAGTCTCGTTTCTTCTGTTCGCATGTCAAAAGGATGTCAAGTGGTTTCTGTACCATTCTTTGAAGTTAGTGGCTAGTCCAATGTATGATTCCGTTGTTGTCCCCGTGACAGTTGCTTGGTAAATCACATTTTGTTGCAGGCAATTACCTTCAAGGGGACATTCCGGTTTTTTCCGGCAGTTGCACGTCTTTGATGGTTGTGCAGATTGTTCTCTAGATGATGTTACAGCAGCGTTTAATGAGAGGATCTTTTTATTGTGGGATGATAGAATGGGCTTCATGTTTGGCATGCAAGAGTAGTTTTAGTGTGTGTCTGTTGAAGATCTTGTGTAGTGGGTGGTATTTTGGAAAGCATTTAATGATGATGCCCAAAGATTTTCTCCCTAGATTTGTTTTAACATTTGAGTCCCACGAAGGGTTGCAGGGCTGTGCTCTAGCAAAGCCCGGTGATCCCTGGTGCCAAACTTTCGCTCTTGGGCAACTAGAAAATCTCAGATTTTTCGTACAAATCATATGCTGGGCACCCTGGATTTTACAGGTTCAGTGCACTGGGGTCCCCTCAATTTTTCTAAGAGCACAGTCTTGGGTTGTACCATGTTATCTGCCTTTTTCTCTTGCTTTTCTTTTTTTTTTTTTATTGCTCCTGAAAAGTTGGGCACTCTAAAATAATTATTCTAACCAGTTCAGAAAATATCTCTCTCTCTATAATATATACAGTACCATTAAGTGTTATTCTAAAAGGTAAATTAATAAACAATAGTTTATTTTAATTAATAAATAATCTTAAATGGCATGCCAAATTTGTTACTTGCTTTGTCTTTCTAAAAAAGTGTTTTTTAGACTCCGAAACTTTTTGTGTCGTCAGAGTTTATGAGCGCTTTCTCCATGTTATTCCAGTCGTCAATTGATCTAACTGAGAATTTTCGTCACCGTCAGTAGTTGTTGTATATGGGGCGGCATAGGTTCAGTTTGCTGAAACGTGTATTTATGGAGTAGATATCAGAATTCAGTTGAAGCATAGATTTTCTGGGTATTCAGGTGTTTTGTGTTCTGTTGAGAATCAATGTGCATCTGTTGATGTATGCATCTTGATAGAAAGGAAGCAAATTTAACGTGTTGAACAAGGGCAATGAAAATGAGCGTTGTTTTGTGTCCAAGATGATCCTCTTTGCTGTATTCAAAAAATGTTGTTCAGGTTTTCCTTAGATGCGGTTGTCCAAATGTTAAAGCCGTTATAAGACAGCTGGTTCGATGACGGCATTGTAATATGTATTCTTATGGCCTCTCTTTAAGCATGGACTGATACTTCTGCTTTTTCGCGAGAGCATTTCAATGATTTTCAAAAGCTAAGTCATCATCAGTCTCTACCATGAGGGATTTGTCTGAAGGTGCTGGTGGGGGTGTCACTTGTTGAAGGGGTTGTGTTGTACCTGAAACTGCCCCTTGCATTGAGGTTTCATTTTGTATGGGTGCTGTCACAGTGTTTGGTATGCAACTTTGATGCTGTAGCAACTGGTGTTCTCTTGATACAAGCTTGTAGCACTTGTGGCAGAATTTAGGATTGCATTTGCCGAGGTCCTTGGTATCTTTATTTAACAAGACCTGGACGAGGCCACAAATCACTTAATAATTTAATAATTTATGAACTTATTGTGCACAGCTTAACATGAGAATGATCAGCTGCGCATTACAACTGCATTACTTTAAAAGAAACAAATAAAAGATAATGCTTTAAAAAATAAAAAGAATGTATATATGCATGCAAGTAAGAACTGAATATAAAATCGCTCACCAATATAAAGTTTCAAAAAGATAAGTCTTAATATGCGCCTTAAAACTGTTCACATTAGTAATCGCACAAAGTTCTTTTGGAAGAGAGTTCCAGAGCCTTGGCGCTGCTACCATAAAAGCTCTATCACCTAACGTCTTCGATCGAACAGCTGGCATAGAAAGTAAAATACTATCTGAAGATCTAAGGTTATATAAGGACGATTTAAATGTTAGTAAATCGCATAGATATTTAGGAGCAAGGCCGTGAACTGCTTTGAACGTAATA